CAGCAGCAACAGCAACAGCAGCAGCAGCAGCAGCAGCAGATTGTGTACCTTGTCTTAATTATGTTGGAGTCTCCTTGGGGTATCTCCTTACTGCAGCAGCAGGCCTTCATCTCGCAGCATCTGACCTCGGAGACACCATGACGCTGCAGTTTGTCTCCTTTTTTGCTGTTGTTGCTGCTGCTGTTAATGTATGTGTTGCTGCTGTATGGCGCATAGCGGGCTCTGGCTGGGGCTGGGATGCTTACACAGCAGCAGCAGCAGCAGCAGCAGCAGCAGCAGCAGCAGCAGGGGATACAGGTGCAGCAGCAGTAACAACAACAGCAGCAACAGCAGCAGCAGCGGGTTCTTCTGCTATTCCTTTCCCTGCAGCAGCAGCAGCAACAGCAGCAGCAGCAGCAGCAGCAGGAGCAGCAGGTGGAGGAGGTCTGTCTTTGCCTGCAGCATCATCCCCATCGCCACCATCTACATCATCATCAACAGCAGCAGCAGCAGCAGCAGCAGCAGCAGCAGGGGGGGGGTATGCAGGCGCGGTGCTGCTGCTGCTGCAGCAGCTCTTTGGGGGCTTCACAGCACGCACAGCCATCCCCTGTATGGTCGATGCCTTCGGCTTTGCTTCTTCTCTCCCCTCCTGGGCAAACGAAGTTAAAGACGATGTTCCGGTCAGACACACCCCACACTTTTTTTTATCCTTTGTCTTTGTCTTTGTCTTTGCCTTTGTCTTTGCCTTTGTCTTCAACACAGAGATGATGTTTGGGTCAGACACACCCCACACTTGTTTTTTATGCTTTGTCTTTGTCTTTGTCTGGGTCTGGGTTTTTAACACAGAGATGATGCTCCGGTCAGACACACCCCACACTTTCTTTTTTGTCTTTGTCTTTGTCTTTGTCTTTGTCTGTGTCTTTAACGCAAAGACGATGTTCCGGCCAGACACACCCCACACTTTTTCTTCCTTGTCTTTGTCTTTGCCTTTGTCTTTTTCTTTGTCTTTGTCTTCTAACACAAAGAAGATGTTCCGGTCAGACACACCCCACACTTTTTTTTCAATGCTTTGTCTTTGTCTTTGTCTTTATCTTTGTCCTTGTCTTTTAACACAAAGACGATGTTCCGGTCAGACACACCCCACACTATTTTTTTGTCTTTGTCCTTGTCTTTCAACACAAAGAGCATGTTCCGTTCATATACACCCCACACTTTTTTTTCCTTGTCTTTGTCTTTGTCTTTAACACAAAGACGATGTTCCGGTCAGATACACCCCACACTTTTTTTTTTTCTTGTCTTTGTTTTTGTCTTTTAACACAAAGAGGATGGTCCCGTGAGAGACACCCCACACTTTTCTTCCCTTGTCTTTTTCTTTGTCTGTGTCTTTGTCTTTAACACAAAGACAATGTTCCGGCCGTATACACCCCACACTTTTTTTTGTTTTTATCCTTGTCTTTGTCTTTAACATAAAGACGATGTTCCGGTCAGACACACCCCACACATATCTTCGAATGCTCTGTCTTTCTCCTTGTCTTTGTCTTTAACACAAAGAGGATGCTCCGGTCATATACACCCCACACTTTGTTTGTCTTTGTCTTTGTCATTCTCTTTGTCTTTGTCTTTGTCTTTAACACAAAGACGATATTCCGGCGATATACACCCCACACTCTTTTTTTATGCTTTGTCTTTAACGCAAAGACAATGTTCCGCTCAGAAACACCCCACACGTTTTTTTTAAATGCTTTGTCTGTGTCTTTGTCTTTGTCTTTAACACAAAGACAATGTTCCGGTCAGCGACACCCCACACATTTTTTTTTTGTACTTGTCTTTGTCGTTTTTTCTCAACACAAAGAGGATGTTCCCCCCAGAGGCACCCCACACTTTTTTTGTCTTTGTCTGTGTCTTTAACACAAAGACGACGTTCCGGTCATCTACACCCCACACATTTCTTTTGTCTTTGCCTTTGTCTTTAAGACGATGTTCCGTTCATATACACCCCACACTTGTGTTTTTGTCTTTGTCTTTGTCTTTGTCTTTAACACAAAGACGATGTTCCGGTCAGAGACACCCCACACTATTCTTTTGTCTTTGTCTTTGTCCTTGTCTTTCAACACAAAGAGCATGTTCCGGCCAGATACACCCCACACTTTTTTTTTCCTTGTCTTTGTCTTTGTCTTCTAACACAAAAAGGAAGGTCGGGTCAGCGACACCCCACACTTTTTTTGTCTTTGTCTTTCTCTTTGTCTTTGTCTTTAACATAAAGACGATCATATACACCCCACACTTTTGTTTTAATGCTTTGTCTTTGTCTTTAAAACAAAGACGATGCTCCGGTCAGAGACACCCCACACTTGTTTTTTCTTGTCTTTGTCTTTGTCCTTATCTTTCAACACAAAAAGTATGTTCCAGCCAGAGACACCCCACACTTTCTTTTTTGTCTTTGTCTTTGTATTTATCTGCGTCTTTAACACAAAGACGATGTCCCGGTCAGAGACACCCCACACCTTTTTTTATGCTTTGTCTTTGTCTTTGTCTTTAACACAAAGACGATATTCCGGTGAGATACACCCCACACTTTTTTTAATGCTGTCTTTGTCTTTGTCTTTAACACAAAAACGATGTTCCGGTCAGATACACCCCACACTTTTTTTTGTCTTTGTCTTTGTGTATTTCTTTGTCTTTGTCTTTTAACACAACGAGCATGCTCCGGTCAAATACACCCCACACGTTTTTTTCCTTGTCTTTGCCTCTGTCTTTGCCTTTGTCTTTGTCTTTAACACAAAAACGATGTTCCGTTCATATACACCCCACACTTTTTTTTGTGTTTATCCTTGTCTTTGTCTTTAACGCACAGACGATGTTCTAGTCAGATGCACCCCACACTTTTTTTTAATGCTTTGTCTTTGTGTTTAACACAAAGACGATGTTCCGGTCATATATACACCCCACGCTTTTTTTTGTCTTTGTCTTTGTCTTTGTTCTTGTCTTTTAAGACAAAGACGATGTTCTGCTAAAGACAGAGACAAAAACACGAGTGTGGGGTGTCTCTGACCCCACACTTGTGCTTTTGTCTTTGTCTTTGTCTTTAAGACAAAGACGATGTTCCGGCCATATACACCCCACACTTTGTTTTGTCTTTGTCTTTGTCTCTAAAACAAAGTCTTTGTCTTTGTCTTTGCCTTTATGTTTAACACAAAGAGGGTGTTCCGGTCAGATACACCCCACATTTTTTTAATGCTTTGTCTTTGTCTTTGTCTTTAACACAAAGACGACGTTCCAATCATATACACCCCACACTTTTTTTGTCTTTGTCTTTGTCTTTTTCTTTTAACACAAAGGGGATGTTCCCGCCAGAGACACCCCACACCCCACACTTTCTTTTTTGTCTTTGTCTTTGTCTGTGTCTTCAACACAAAGACGATGATCCGATCAGAGACACCCCACACCTTTTTTTATTGCTTTGTCTTTGTCTTTGTCTGTGTCTTTAACACAAATACCATGTTCCGGCCATATACACCCCACACCTTTATTTTATGCTTTGTCTTTGTCTTAAATACAAAGACGATGTTCCGGTCAGATACACCCCACACTTTTTCTTTATGCTTTGTCCTTGTCTTTGTCTTTGTCTTCAAGACAAAGACCATGTTCCGGTCATATACACCCCACACTTTTTTTTGTGTTTGTCTTTGTCTTTAACA